ACTGAGGAGCTCCAAATCTGCGCGGACACTGCCTTCAAACTATAAGGCTTTGCGCGCTCTGCACCTGTCATCCAAACAAGCTTGTGTGACTGATTTAAATTCGGTTTGGGGACGATTGAAACCTCGAGCGTAACCGTCTTGCACAGCCTACTTTCTTTCAGAACATGGGTGCCTATAAGTACATGCAGGAGATATGGCGCAAAAAGCAGTCTGATGCTATGCGCTATCTTCTCCGTATCCGTACATGGCAGTACAGGCAGCTTTCTGCCGTTCATCGAGTCAGCCGTCCAACCAGACCCGAAAAAGCTCGTCGTATGGGTTATCGGGCCAAACAAGGTAGCTTTCTTTGTTTCCACAAGATCTTTTGTGTTTTTACATCATCTTTTTTCGTTTCATTCTTTTACCTCATTACTGCCTTTTTTACCATCGGTTTCTATTTTGCGATAATGGCAGTATATCTTTCAATTCAAAACAACTTCCAAAGAAACAAGACCTTTTTTGTATTCACCACTTTTTTCATTGATGGATTTTGTTTTGGAGAACTTAGAGGTTTTTGAGTAAAGGTAGCACCAAGAGAGCGCCGTTGTTTGTGCACAAGGTCTATGCTTTCGTTCTTGGCATTGGTTAGTTTGTTTTTAATTCGTTATAATTTAGGCTACGTAATCTACCGTGTTCGCGTCCGCCGTGGTAACCGAAAGCGTCCAGTCACTAAGGGTCAGACTTACGGAAAGCCCAAGACACACGGAGTAAATGAACTCAAATTCGCTCGATCAAAGCAAGCAATCGCTGAGGTGAGCAGACTAGTTTTACCAAGACTGTTTTCGTTCCAATTTATCTATCGTTAGTGTTTGCAATTTACTCTTTTCACTCAAACGCTAAATCTCTCCTTGAATTTATTTTTATGTAGACATAGCCATTCGTTATTTGTACTTGTCGTTTGTCTTGACACACACATATCCATAAAGGGTAGGAATATATGCATTTGAATGGTACAAGCACCAATTTCTTTGTGGGCATACGTACACAACTGGCCGGAACTTCAGCAGAACGTTCACGAGAGTTCCGCCGGGTCATCTGCGGAAGTTCCGTAAACGTGCTACGGAAG